CCACACACCGAGTCTGTCTCTTTCAGTTCTTCGCCAAAAGCTGGTCTGCCCGGCAACAAAGGCAGGATTTAATATTATTGACAGACTCAGTCCTTCAGGCTGATTGGGTGAGTACTACCCATACTGGCTGCTATCTCCACCCAACGAGAATCAGGTAGGACCAACGCCCCTTTTTACAAATTTATAACTTAAATTTTTGATGTTACATTTTTACTTACTAAATTGTTCCATTAGATGAAGCATCACTATATGTTTTGGCTCTTACTATCCCTTTCATGAAACAAGCAAACAAGAAATACAAAATGGAAATAACTGCCATTATATCACAGAAAAAGGCTTCTTTATAGTTCAAATGCAATAAGGTGCTCTGTGTAAAGAGATTTCATTATACCAGTAAAGTACATAGTAAAGTAAGTCTTTGGGCTGAAATCTTGACTGAACTTTTTGCAGCCTAGTGGAACACTAAGATTACTATCCTGGGATTCTGGTTGGAATAGAGTTCTTTTCCTTTTTTGTAAAAGCATTTCCAAGAAATCTCGGGGGAACAAAATCACTCTGTACATCAGGATTTTGGAAGGCAACTCACATAAATTTCAAAATGGAATCTTCAGAGTATTTGCTAAATTATGATCAATGTATTTTTCCATTTTGCAAATAATAAGCTATAGAAGTTACAGCAATAAAGTTCTAAGGAAATGTCTGCTTTATATTTTAATATGCACAAGGCTGTGGTAACTCTTAAATAATGGTCCTGTTTCTTACAAAGGGCAATGATGGTTCTTAGTCAAAACTATAAGACGTGTATGTATGTATGTATGTATGTACGTATGTATGTATTTATTTTAACTGCCCATGTCCCTGAAAAGGGACACAATATAACAATAACAATAGGATGACAACATTTTCTTTATCTGTCTGCCTGTTTGACATAAAAGTATGAGCTACTTCTACTCAGAAGGGTGTAGAAGAACAAACCTTCTAGAAATTGGTTTGGAAGCTGTAACATTGGTGCTTGTTACCGTGTGCCCCTTTCCTTAAAAAACAGGAGCCTTGAAGTGGGGCAGGATTGAACTTGGCATGTTGAGTAAAAAAGTGAAGTCTGTTTTATTATTTGCAGGAAATATGAATGGTTCATTTATCGTAGCTATGGCAAAAATCTACAGCTTATTTTCAGGGTCATGACTCATCTTGCATCTGGATCCGAAACCAGTGTGGTCCAGTGAATAGTTTATTAGGTTTGGATCTTAGAAATCTCATTTCATATCCCAGCTCAGTCCGGGTCTTACTGGGTGGCCCTGGGTAAGATGCTCTCTGGGCTGATTCCTCCATCTGTAAATGAGAATGTTAAAGACTAACACCATTGTGCAACTTTTGAGGATGGGTAAAGTTATTATGGAAGTCTTATTACAAGTTATGATACAAGATAACTGAACCAGGATACTTGATATTTAACGAGTATTTATATTTAGCAGATATTGAGCAAATTTAAGGTTTGCTCCTTTTTTAAAAATCAATTCATGTCCTAGTTGTGTTAAAGCCCTAACATAAAAACAGTCTTTGATGAATAATGCTAGTTGAATTCTGTTGTAACTACTACATTTTTGTCAGGCGGATCTGAAAAGCCACGGCTTTGCATTTTGATGCTGAGAACTCTTCTCTCCTGCTGCCACTCTGTCAATTATACTTTGAATTGGAGTGGGTTGCAAACAGGGATCAAAGAAAACTAAAGACTAACATTATGAGTTTTCCTTCTGGTGGGTGTGAGACTGACCTGTGCAAAGACACTCTCATGGGAATTTTAAGTGCATGGCTGCTGTACCACCTCGTTTAGTAATCTATATTATCTCCTTGGGAAATGTCTTGCTAAAGTTGCGTAGGATTTTCTTCAAAACACTGTAGAGGACATAAAAACAGCTTTTCTTTCGATAACCCTCTGCCTTCTTAAAAGCATAGCAAGTCTGGGGTACATCATGAATTCCTGAAGGATTATATCTCTTCTTTTGCCTAATTTATTGCTTGTGGCTCGCTTGTTTAAACCCTGAATTCAAGCTTTGTTTAAAATGTGGTTTGCTACTACCAGTGATTCAAATTGCAAAACCCTTGGCTTATCTTGAATTTCAGCTTTCTCGGAGGACCCTGCAGACGTTGGTATTGTTGTCTCATATGAAGCAATATTTTACTGAAAAGGTTTAACTCTCTGAAATTGGATGCCCATATAAAAAGGCATCAACCTTTTCCACAGCCCACTGAGAGTATGAAGTTTATACTGCAGTTTCTTTATTTAAAAAAGTATTATTATTTTCTTTCAAGCATACAGTACATGCTAACAAAGCACTGCATTTTAGAAACATTTACTTATTCTAATTTACTGGGTGTTTAGTGCTTTTATAGTGTTCTTTTGCAAGAGTTTCATACAGATAAATTGTTTTTGGGAAGAATAGTACTGTAAACTCTTTGTCTTCTAGTTTCTGTTTAAGTTTGTTTCATACAAAATCCTTAGCAATGCAAAATTAAATAATTAAAAAAGTTCAAATAGTTATATAATGTTAGAAACTCGCTTCTTCATCCTTTACCTCTTTATTCCAGAAAGTTATTAGATTATAACTTTCCCCATCTATTGCCTCAGTATTTTTTTAAAAAAATCCTGAAACTAATTTTGAAATTTTTAAAATTTTTATCTTACCTGTATTACTTTATAAGTAAACAAGGTGGTAAACATACGTAATATTCCTTCCTTTTCCTATTTTCTCCACAATACATTTGTGAGTTGAGTTGGGCTAAGAGTGACCAGCTCACACTCAGCAGCCAGTTTTCATGCCAAAGGTAGAACTTTGCAGGCAGGGATCACTAGTTTCTTCTTTGTTTTAGGTAGCAAAGTATCTTTTTCCAAACTGGAAGGACAGACTAAGTTACTAAAATCTTTACTTAATAACATACATCCCTAACCCAAATGAAATGAAAGAGATATCAGTGGGGTATTATTTTATCATATTAGCTGCTGTAAAGTACCAGAATATTTGGCTTCTTTGAGGAAGAGGTACAGGAGTGGCATGGAGATTGAATATTACTGCAGTAATTCTCAAATTGATATTAATTTTATTTGCAAACCATGTGTAATCTGGGGAAATGGAGGAGGAGATATGGTAGGTAGATCATTTATATGCTCTCTTTAATATGAACCAGAACATTAGACTTATACTATCATTTCTGTTTGCCCAAAGCTAATGAAACATTTTTTTCTCATGTTGACCATAAAAATGGGAGGTCTCCACCTGACATGAAACATAGCATAATTCCAATTAATAGTAGCCGGCTAGAAGACTTGAGTTGTAGGTAAAGCTTTCATGTCATGTTTATTAAAAAATGATATGATGTTGATGTTCATTATGTTTCATGTCAATGGAATTAAGTAATTCTCATAGAATAAGCTTTAGAAGCTGAAACTGCAATAGATGATACTTCCCCCCCCCCTTTAAATTGCATTGCCATAGGCTTCATATTTTCAATTATATAAACAGAATTATCATTTAGAAAACAGTTTAAATTTCTAAATAAGAATATCTAATGAAACAATTTGTATGAAAGAAAGCTCTTCATCTTAAATATTAAATTGGGTCTAAATGTAGGTATGCTCACTTTTGCTCAATCATTGAAACAATTTAGTCATGGCTAACTGGCCTTATTGGGTTCCAAGCCTATCCCTAATAAAACCATTAGGTTTTTATTCATCTGGGAGTGGAGTTATATAAATTAATTTACCATTTTAAGGGACTTTGGTTTTGCAGACTTGTAAAATTCCTACCTTGTGGGTTTGAGAAATTGATATGAAACTAAGTGGTTTGTCTAGTTATTTGGATCCCATTGAGACCTTTAAAGTCCTAATCATCTTCAATTGTGTCCATGAACAAATTTGTATATAAAGTAGTTGAAATTTGACAGTATTCTGGGAACAAATCATATATAAATTAGCATATAAAGCATATATGCATATAAATTAAATAAATAAAGGAAACACAACTTTTTATGCATATATGTAAAGTAGAAGTGCATTGATATTGAACATTTTCTGTAATTAGTTCGCATTGTTTCTAGCAACTGTATTGCTGCTTTCTTATGTTCAACAGAACTGGGCTGCAGAAAAATCTTGACAACAACTAAGTGGTAACAAGGGAATATAGAAAAATTGCTGTCTAGCAATCATCTGGATGTTTGCAGCCTTAATATGATAACCCTACAATTTTTACAGAACAAAATATGTTCTAGAGACAATGTATTGAATATTGTCAGTGAATAATAGCAAGCACTGCTTGTGTCTCCTCTATAATAATTCAAAGTTCCGAAAGTTGAAAATGATTCAATAATAACAAAAGGCTTAGTGTGCGTGTTTTGTGAAGGTATGCTCTGATGTAATTTAATTTAGTTTTAAAAGGTGTAAGTTTTTAATATGTATTGGAACTTGGTCCTCAGCTGAATTTTGTTTTGACAACTGTGACTAATTCTATGAATCTACACTCTATAGAAAAGTAAAGTCTTTGAGCTTATTTGGTTTTTTTTTTTTTGTATTGCCAAATGTCTTGTAATTCAAAGTCAAAGTTTGAAATTAGATAACTTTATGTCAAATTAACAAGTTCAAGCCCTCTTAAAAAGGGGTTGCATCAGATCTATCCTTGTTTGTCTGTCTGTTTTGTGCCTTTATATTTTTATAAGTATCTTAAGGCGGCAAATACTTAATAGTCTTTCTTCCTCTTCCCTTCCCCAGAACAATAACTGGTTGGGTTGGGATGAGAGAGAGTGACTGGGCCAAAGTCACCTAGCTGGCTTTCATGTTTAATGTAGGACTAGAACTCATAGTCTCCTAGTTTCTAACATGGTGTCTTAAGCACTAAACCAGACGGGCTCTCTAATTATTACTCTAATTTGTTATATAAATTACAGATTTGCTTTTATAATCACTATATAAAAACAGGAGACATAAGCATGAATTTAGAATTTGCCCTTACAATATAGTTGAGAAAGATTGATCAATTTCTTCCGGAATTATAGTGAAGTTTCCTTTCAAATCTGAAAAAAAATTGTAATGATAACATATCTGGCTAGTCAACCATGATCAAGTACTACTGAATCAGTGAAGCCACTTAATAATGACTAAATAATAATTATTACTGAAAAAAATCTATAAGCTATAGTAATTACAATATATCTCCTTATAAGGCTTCCCCCTTAATCATGAATACTTTTAAATGAATTTCGCCGATTTTGTGTTAAATGTATTAGTTTAACAGTATGTGAGAATGACCTTGGGAGGCAGGAGGAAAAGCCAGAGACTAGCCCAGCATCGTGCAAAAAGTATGTCAGTCCATAAAAACAGATGGGAAGTGGGATGTGTTTAAGAAGGAACACTCCCTAGTTTTTTGGATAATAAAAGTAAAAGAGGGAAGTACTTTCAGACTTGCAAGATTCTGTTACTCTAATCTTACAATAAAAATAATTTTAGTACTTATGGTTTCTGCTTCTTGTCTGAACTATCTTAAAGGTCTGACAACTGATCTCCCAAAGTGTAGTTCTTTTTTGCTATGATGTCATTCTTATATTCTTTTCACCTTCTGAGTTAGAATTTTGGTTTCAGTTCCTGGAATATTGAGTTAACAAGATTAGTAGTTATAGAAAAGATGCATAAGACTGCAGGTCAAATTACATATAGGAAGATGGACGAATGGTGTGATCTATCACAGGAAAGTTTTTTATATAGTATTTTTCCACAAAGAAGCTCAGTGTGATTTGGACAGATTTTGGTTATGGTTCCAATTATCTATATTCTACATGTTCTTTTATTATCGAACTTATTGTTAGCATGATATTAGCCAAGATAGTTTCATTAGAGTGAAGGTAAAGGTCCATGATTAACAATAGCAGTAGCACTTAGACTTATATAAGCTTCACAGTGCTTGCCAGCCTTCTCTAAGCAGTTTACAGAGTCAACATATTGCCCCCAACAATCTGGGTCTTCATCTTACTGAACTCGGAAGGATGGAAGGCTGAGTCAACCTTGAGCCTGGTGAAATTCAAACTGCCAAATTGTAGGCAACTGGCCGTCAGCAGAAGTAGCCTGGCATATTGCATTCTAATCACTGCGCCACCGTGGCTTTTAATATAAGCCCCACTGATTTCAATAATAATATTTTAATTTTGACCCTTGACTTATCCCTATAGTATTTAAACAAGGAGTTTTGTGAACCACTTTCACAAATAAATGCTTGGTGGTTTACAACTTATTTAAACTAAGCTTCTAAATAACTTATCTGAGGAAGATTAGTATGAACATACTTGTCAGGCTTCGAGGTCGTCTCAAATAAATTGCATTTCAAACAAAGTCTTTGAAGGCACTTTGTCAGCACTTCAAACTGCATTTACTATAGTGCTGACAATACTATAACATAAGTATAAGAAGACGTTATTTTAATTTTATGTGTGTGTTTTGTAGAGTAATATAATCTCTTAGTCAAATACTTGGAAAACATTGTAAAATTATGTTTCATATTACATTGAGCCTATGGGAAATAAGAAAACGTACCACATGCTGAAATATTTTAGAAGCTAGTGTTACTATATGCTTTCATAACTACCTTTTCATTACATGGGATATTTTCAGAAATCTCTTCTTAGTAATATATATATATGAAAGCCACTTTGAAGTGTCTGTTCCACCTCTGAAGTAATTTTAAGGCCAAAACTCTAAAACTATTTGATCAATCAAAAATTGTTCCCAACAAAGCTTTAGTTTCTTCATTGTAGTACAGATATACAATGGATTCTATACTTTTTCAGATTGTAATTTGCAACTTGCTAGTAAACTTAGTTTAGCATGAAGAATCTCTTTTGATTGCATAGACATGTCTCACATGGCCCTGTTCCCTATCTTGGCAGTTTTTAAATTACAATTTTGTCAAGTGGTTACCTATTTGTAGCATTTAGTCTGTATCAAATAGTATACATATAGTGTTTGTCATGAATGTGCAGGCTGCAAACCCCCACCCCTCATTTACTGGCAGCCTGATAGCATCTGACTGCCAGTCAACTTACAGTATAAGAGGGGAAGTTGTCCTTTGTCATATAGGAGTGAGATGTCTTTGGCACACAGGTTTAGCCATGCCTCAACAGCTCCCTTTCCTGAATAGAAAAAAAGCTTGATTTTAAAAAAATACTAGTGATAAAACTCTGGGGAAATGGAAGAAGAAACTGCTGTATCTGAGCTGGGGAAATTAACATGGTATAGCAGGCCTGTCAAATGGGCAGCCTATGGGCCAGATGCGTCACATGCATGCCATGCCACGCCGGCTCTGCAAAGGCAAAAAACATTGTGATATGTCACAATATGTTACGTGATGCGATCAAGTTTGACACAGGTGTAGTATAGCATCCCCAATAGCACTTACATATAGTTAAAATTACCTCAAGAGGTTGGGGTGGTGCAAGAAAAAAAAGCATATGACTTTATTCCTTTTCTTTATTGCTTTCAATATAGTTATTGGGATTTTTTTAAAAAAGCTGTCTTATATGATCAGATTGTATTCTCATTCTTCATCTTCCTGAAATCCCTTTGCATCTCTAAATATTTGAAAAAGAAGGAAAGGAAACCCTCTGGAATAATTGTGCTTAGATTCAGAGAGAGGAAGGAATGAAAGGAAAAACTGCTTATGTAACAATAGATGAAACTCTTGGGAAGCAATATAACTGTTATTTCAATTAAAGCAGATGTGTTTTAACCATCTAGACAGACCTTGAGAGCAGGTGATACATTTTTCTCTAGAGAAAGTTATCTTTATTGTCACTGTTTTTCATACTGGTAGTTTCATGTAAGTTACAATAAGGCTGTTCACCAGCTTAAATGAGTAGGGTAAAGTGCTGTGAAATTACCTTTTTATGTAGTTAGAAATACATCACAGCTGTGAATGAAGTTTGTATGAAAGAAATGTTAATTGCAACAGCTGAGATAATTCAGATGTTGAAATTTACATATCATCACTTGTGAGCTGTAACGCTTTGGTGACCTAATGGAAAAATGTTCCTTTTGAGGGAAAAGGTGTCATTTTATTTTTGTTTTGAAAAATACTACCCTGTTTCCCCAAAAATAAGTCATCCCCTGATAATAAACCCAATCGGGCTTTTGAACGCATGTTCTAAAGTAAGCCTCTCCCGAAAATAAGCCCTTCCCCGAAAATATTCAAACGCAGAGCTGGAAATCAGGTAAGAAGGCAAAATAATAAGACTTCCCACGAAAATAAGGCCAAGTGCTTATTTCGGGGTTCAAAAAAATACAACACAGGAAACACGGTATTTATCTGAAAGATAAAATATTCTCCAAATATTTTACTTTTTTAAATGAGAGTTCCTCCGAAATTTACTGAAAATATAAAGTAATCATAGCAAATGAATTTCTTCTAATTTTCTTGATGGGATGGGCGGAGGAGATGGGTTGTCTTGATTCCACTTTCAAGATCTGTTGCATTTAAGAGAACTAAAAATATTAGTTCCATGTTGAAATCTGAATAAAGTTTCAGAATCCATTTATAAGGATTTTAGTAATGCATTTCAAACCCAAATTCATCCAGGACCATACTATTTTTCACTGTTTATTCAGCTTAATTGACAATCAACACCACAGTAATGTGTTATAAATAGGCCATGAGTATTTAGACCACAAAATATTTTCATGGGGAATACTATAGAATCCCTTCTCAGCTGCGCCACTCACTAACAGATGCCAGACCAACATATAAATGCAAGCCAAGTTTCAATATCTTTCTTAGAAACGACTCAAAATATTAATCCCTAGGCCTTATGCAATGCCAGTGGATGAAAATGTAAATAAAATATAATCTAGAATGTATAAATTCTAGAGAGCTATAAAAAGGTCTCAAGAGTAATCTTGTGCAATATTTTGTATATAAAAACTCTGAGTTTGGAATGCTTTCAGTGTTCATTGGTATTCGGATTTATGAGACTTAAGCTTTATTGTAATTGTAGAATTTTAATTTTCATGTAAACCAGTTTATTACAGAAAAAATATTTGGTTATAAGAATTAGAACACAGTTGATGTCATAAATGCTGCTGTAAGGGTGTCTGTGTATGTGTGTTTTGCCAGTCTGAGCTATTGATCAGAGGTGGAGATCATGGCTTCCTGAATGACAAGCATCTGATTTAGTTATGCCCATGGGATAAACTAGAATACATTTCTTTTAGCATAATTTCAATTATCTAAAGAAACAGAAGAAATGAAGTAGCTATCTAATCTTTTCTTCACAGTTAACTCAATTAGAAATGTAGTTTTGGATAGGTTTTAAGAAAATGAAAATGGTAAATTAAGCAAATGAATAACTTCTTTCAATACAGATAAGGCATTGTTCTTCAGACAGTTGAATAAAGGAAGAAGAACATGACTTGGAAACAATCAATAGTTCTTTGTTAACAAATTACTTTTTAAAATTTAATATTATCCCACTGGTAATTCATACACTTAAAGTGAAAGTCAAACAAGGGTTTTATCTGGAGGAGATCTTGCTTTTCCAGGTGAATAGTTTTCTTGCATGAGGCAAAAGAGTATTTTTTCTGTGGCTCATTAAATTGTGGAGTCACTTCTGGTCTGGACAGATAATTCATAATTTCAGGTTTGTTTGTTTTTTTAATTGTAGCTAAACTTATAGTCCAGCATTTTGAATTACTATATTTTCCAACATTTTTAGAATTGTCAAAACAAATTGTATTCTTTTTGCATATTTTGAATGCCCTGGAAAAAAAATCTGCTGCAAAATGAACTCACTATTGATTAGTAACAAGTATTAATGTTTAAATGAAAACAGATAATTTTTTGATTCAGTTAAGTTTTGTTTTGTATAGTTAAAACATGAAAACAATGTGCCAGGGAGAAAGCCACATTTTACTTATCGTATATTTGAATATTATATTCTGTTGTTCAATTGTGAAATTAAAATTATTGGCATGTTTTCAGCCCTTCAAGATTTCCATTTCAAACTCTTAATATGTTTTTGCAGATGTTAAAATAGAAGAATAGCAGAACAGCATGGTAGTTTGCTGCCATGCCACAAATTAAATTTCCTTCAGGTTTTGGAATTATTATTATTTTTTTTTAGTTTTAGAAACTGTTTGTTAAATGAAGGAAAATGTAGTTTTGCCAGAATAATTTAATCCCAGCCTCAGCCTTTCACTGACAATTAGTTAAGCAACACAAACCCTAACTGTAATAATATTACTCATGTCCTACTTTGATAGTCTGCCCTGCTTGCCAAAATGACAAGTAGGAAATTTGAAAGCAAAATACTAAACCATTTATGAATATTTGGCAATTCCTCTGAGTTTTGTCTCTTAAATTCTAATATTGGGTGGAGGTGCGTTAATATTCCTTCCTTATTTTCAAACATCCCAGAACATTAAAATTGATTCTTCACATTTATAAACATGACTTGCCATCCAAGCAATTTTGTTGTCAAAAATTAATAGTAGCCAAACTGAATGTACAGT